AAAGGTATCAGGCATCTCGTCCTTTTCCCTCTCTGCTAAAAACAGGTCTTCTTTGCCTTCAAAAGCAGAGAGGCACAGCCTTGATGGCAGACGATCAGCTTCATTGATACACACAGCTGATTGTGGAGATTGCATAATTGCGGCAGCAGCAACAGCAGCAGTGAAGACATCTGATGCCGATGGTGAAACCATTAATTTGAAAAAGCTGCAGGCCGAGATAAAGATAAAAATAGTTTTGTTAGGCTCAAAGTCAGAACCAGAATCCAAGCAGAATCCAAAAGTGTTGTTCAAATTCTTGCGCCAAAACTGAAGCAAAATAGTCAGCATGGTGGTCATGGTGCTGTCAATACAGACCTCGACATTTTAAGTGCAGTTTTGTTTGCTGCTGCTGCTTTCTGTTTATTTGAGTTCAAGCGCCCTTTTTGGTTGATTTGAAGAAGAAATCTCCAATTTTGGTATGAATCTCAAACTGTATGTCACCAATTTTAGAAGCTGACACCTTTTATTTTTCTTCTCAGACCACAAAAATGCGCGTCGCCGTGGTGGGCTGCCTGCACGGCGAGCTGGACATCATCTACGAGGCCATCAGCCGCATGGAACAGGAGCACCGGTACACCATCGACCTCCTCCTCGTGTGCGGCGACTTCCAGACGATCCGCAATGCCAACGACCTGCGCTGCATCGCCGTCCCCGACAAGTACAAGCGGGTGGGCCACTTTCCCGACTACTACTTCGGGCGGAAGGTGGCCAGCAAGTTGACGCTGCTGATCGGCGGCAACCACGAAGCGTCCAACTACCTGCAGACGCTCCCGTACGGCGGCTGGGTCGCCCCCAACATGTACTATCTGGGCCTCTGTTCGGTGGTGAGGGTGGGCGGACTGCGTCTGGGCGGCATCAGCGGCATCTTCAAGTATCACCACGCGAAGCTGAGTCACTTTGAGTGTTTGCCGTACAATGCGGACACGATGCGCAGCGTCTACCACATGCGCGAAACGGAAATCTACAAGCTGCTGCAGCTGACGGAAAAGGTCCGAGAGACCGAGAGAAAAGAGAGCTCAGAGGACGACCAGAAAGACCCAGCAGCAGATCCAACTTCTACATCAGCAAAGAAGACCCGGCGATCGCTGGGCAAGCTGGACGTCTTCCTCTCGCACGACTGGCCCATCAACATTCACCAGTGCGGCAATGTCGGCTATCTGCTGCGGAAGAAGCCCTTCTTTCGCGACGAGGTCAACGACCAGCGGCTGGGCAATCCGCTGCTGCAGCCGCTGGTGCACCACCTTCAGCCGCGGCACTGGTTTGCCGCCCACCTGCACGTCAGCTTCAATGCGGTGGTCAATCACGACAACAACAAAGGCAACGGAGCGCCTGCACAAGGTGGTGCTGGTGGCCAGCAGCAACTTCACCGGACGCAGTTTCAAGCCCTCGACAAGGTCCTCCCTCGGCGGCAGTTTCTCCAGGTTTTTGAAATTCCCACGGAGGAAGAGCTGACGGGCAGACAGGGCCCATCAACATCATCATCAACATCCTCCTCATCACCATCAATGCCACTGCTAGAACACGACCCCGAGTGGCTGGCCATCCTCTGCAAGACCGACTACCTGCTGAAGATTCACCGCGAGCAGATTCACGAGATTGACATCTTCAACGCCCACAACAGCGTCACCATCACCGAGGAGGACGTGAAGGAGGTGGTGGCACTCTTCAACGGCGACCTCACCATCTCACCGGCCGCCTTTGCCCCCTGCGAGCCGGTGACGGCCGTCAACGTGGACACTGACCCGCAGCGGGTGAAGAACTTTGTCAATCCGCAGACGACTGCCCTCTGCGAGCGACTGTCCATTCTCGACCCGAATCGGCTCTTTCGCTTGGAGAATGATGGAGAGGCGTCGAGAGCGGTGGAAGACGCCGGCAACAGAGCTCCAACATCGCTAGCCCCAGCGGCAGCAGCAGCCGTAGCGAATCCTGATGCCATCAGCCTAAGCGACGACGACGATGATTGCTGCAAAGAGGAAGGGGATGAGGAACAGGTGACAAAGAAGGCCAAACTTGAAGAGGATGAACAGCAGCCGCCGCTCTTTGTCATTGACACTGTCGGCAGCAAGTAAAGATGTAAACACCTAAACACTCACGTCAAGTACAAACACAACGAGATATCCCTCACAAAACTTCATCTCATTCATTAGTAAAAATGATGTTTTTTATTTCAAAGCTTCACGCTCCAACAAAAACTGGTGTTAGATTTAGTCTTTCTGCTGCTGCGGCTCGCTTTAGTTGACACCGTGCATGGTCTCCTGGGTCTTCACCCACTCGGAGAAGGGGCCCTTGTTGGGCTTGTAGTAGCAGGTGACGCCGTTGGGCAGCAGGCGCCCGTCCTCGCGCATCGTCTCGTAGTCGGCGGTGTCCCACTTGGTGAAGCCCCACTTGCGCGAGATGGCGATCTTCTGGCGACCGGGGAACTTGAACTTCGCACGACGGAGCGCCTCAATCACGTGCTCCTTGTGCTGCTCCTTGACGCGCACCGAGAGGATGATCTGGCCGATGTGCACGCGGGCGACGGTGCCCAGCGGCTTGCCGAAGGCGCCGCGCATACCGGTCTGCAGTCGATCGGCACCGGCACACGACAACATCTTGTTGATGCGCAGCACGTGGAAGGGGTGGACACGGATGCGCACGTGGAAGGAGTCCTTGCCGCACGTTTTCACCTGAAATAGAAGAGAAGAAGGTAGTGTTAGTGACCAGTTACATCGACCGGGCAATCGCCTGAGTGGTTTGTCCGGTAATGAGAGTAGGCATCAGTCGGTCGGTCGCTCAGTGAGAAACCGCCCGAATTGCTTTTCCACACTTTAATTACCAAAGTAGAATTGGTGTGCAAAGCACTTCTACTCTGGTACTCAAAAGCGTGGATTAATTGAGGGGGCGGATAAGATCACTTACCAAGTACTTGTTGCAGCAAATACGACCAGCCTCCAGAGCCTCCGAGGAGATTTGCTCAAACTCCTGTTGAAAAGGAAGAAGAGGAGTTTGAGTAAAGGGAGCACAGTAAGCAAAACAAATGCCGTTCTTACGTTGGAGATTAGATGGACGCATAGTGGAAACTCGTCGACGCGCGCTCGCTTGCGACCCAGATCGTAGATGCGGATCTTCGGATCGGGCACACCTCGGCAGAAGCGCGACTTCGGGTACGGCTTGTTCTTACAGTACCGATAGCTAGAAAGAGGGGAGGACAGAAAGTTAGGACTCGAGTCTTCAAATCGCCAAGTCGTCATCAAAACAAGCGCAACTTACCAACGGGCCGGTCGTCGTCCCATCTTGACTTCGTGGACTGGTTAAATGAAAGCAAAAAAGGTGGAGGGCGACAATTAGATGATTGCAAACGAAAGAGGATACGACGTAAGGTAACGACAGAGCAACGTTTTACTTTACCTGATCAGAGATGCAGAGAGAAAGAAAGAGCAAGTCAGCGAAGCAGCAGCTCAGCGGAAAAGCAGCGAAAACACTGCACGTGCCTATCCGGATCGATCGTAGAAGACGTACTGAGCAGCATTTTTTCTTTTTTCTAATATACCCGTAGCGACACCTTTTGATAGGGGCGGCAAACTCAATTATTTTTATAAATTGTTGTGCAACGGTGAGAAACAAATCCAAATGAAAATCAGTCATCATGTGATGTCTTTATTTCCGATTGCCTGTTTTTTCCATCATCATACAGCAAATGAACTGCTTTCCGGTTATTTTTTTGTTTTGCCAGTGGTTTTGCAAGAATGATTCTAATGAATCCTCTCTTTCCATCCATCTCATTCAAGCAGACAGAAAAAGAAGAGTCAACAGTTCGAAAGCAGCAGCCACACAGGTAAGCACAGCAACACAGCGTCTATTTACCCTTTTCTCTTCTGTTGACCGATTTTCGATAAAGCAATAGCGCAAAGGCGAGTTGGAAACAAAATTAGCGCTAAAATCATTTTCCTCTCATTCCTCTAATTTTCAAGCGAATGCTGATTCAGCTGCCTGACAGAGGATCCACACACACATGCAAATGAGAAAGAGGTAGAGTCCAGTACAGGAGCCTGAATTGAAAAGTGGGCAATGTGAAATTGAAGGGTTTCAAAGAATCGCCTTTGTGTCTGTGTGGGCAGAGTACAGAACTCGGCCAGTGGCGGCAGTTTTCAACACCGCTTTTCTACCTCACCGCTCTCTCACTGAGTCAACAACCAGTCAGCCGGTGCTGGACCAGTCATCACTGGAACTAGAGTTCCAGAATCCCAAAAGACAGCAGGTGAGGGGTGATTTTCTTCGTCACGTACATCGAAGAAGATTTATCGATTTAGGAGCAGCAGCAACAGAAGCAGCTGCGGTGGCAAAGAAGGAGGCCAAGAAGTGGAGCGTGAGAGTCAAAGAGAGAGAGAGAGAGAGAGAATATTCTGACGTATTTTAGAGACTGTGGGAAAGACTGACAAACAATTATGAACGCATCTATCTCACTCTCTTTCTCTCTCTCTCCCACTCAGCCACTCTGACGTAGGAAAAGAAGAGGCTGTGACCGAGACAGAGCAACGAGACACCGTCCTAGACAATAATAAAACCCAGCACCGACGACGACGAAGAGGAGGACTACCATGATACAATTTTATTTCACCCACGCGTTGACCCACTTTGCCACTCTGAACCAAACGGTTCCTGAAACTGAACAGCTCAGCTCAGCTACTGAAATGAACTCTGAAACTGCTTTTTCTGCCGCTGGTGCTGGTGNGTTGACCCACTTTGCCACTCTGAACCAAACGGTTCCTGAAACTGAACAGCTCAGCTCAGCTACTGAAATGAACTCTGAAACTGCTTTTTCTGCCGCTGGTGCTGGTGCTGTTGTTGCTGCTGTTCTAGTTTGATGCACCGCTTTCGTACCGTCAGAGATGCAAACGCTGGCTGGTGGTATTAGCGAAGTGAAACGAGTTTGAAGACGAAGAAGAAGAAAAGTTTTAAGAGAAAGTTCAACAACACTTGCTGGAATAGTAGTTAAGAAGAGCAAGAGAAGAAGAAATAAAAGTAAGAGAGCGAGAGAGATTGCCCTGCTATTCCAACGCCCACACACTCTCGCACACACTTTATCAATTCAGTTGAAACCGTAGCTGCTGACAATAGTAGTGAGAGTAGTAAAAAGAATGAAAGAGCAGCAGCTGCAACATTAACCTGAAAACATTTACCGTCGCTGCCTACTGCTTTTCTACTACCTTTTCTTCTATTTATAATACTCAGGTTCAGATGTTGTTTAACCTAAATT